CATAGAAGATCAGATTACCCTTCATATAGAAGTAAGTGGTTTGAATTATGATATTCTGGTTAGTAATAATTTTTTGTCTTTTAAAAGGCAGAAGTTGACTATTATGACTTAAGTAAAAACGTTTAGAAATGTGTTTAGTGAGATAATGTTCTCTTAACTATAAAAACACTTAACCCTAAAGCAAGAATATCCACCTTTCTGAAAAAACGGGAGTTAAGGATTTTAAACAAATATGTAAGAGCTTGCATGTCATTTAAGAAAAGATATTGTTACTTTATAAATAAGTGAAAGATACAGTTAGTGCTATCTCATGTTTCCTTTTCAGCTCATTCCTTATTTTGGTTCATATTTCACAGTAAAATCTAAGCTGAGAAATAAAACTTAAAGAGCAGTTTCCTACTGTGTTTGTTACTAATAAAAGAAAATTAGCATGATAACTTTTGACTAAATATGCATCTAGATTATATGTGAAAGCTAATTATGTATTACAAGTTAAGCAAGTGGAGTTCAGTTCTTTACAAATTAAGCCTATTCCAACAGGCTTCTCTATTTTACATGACCTCGTAACCACGGTGGTATACATACTTTAACTCTGAAAATACTTAACACTTTTACTACATGTCACAAGATTTTAGTGAATAACATTCAAAATTTAATTAAACTACTTTTCTATCATGGTGTACGAATAAATATAGCATAAAAAAAGCTGATAATTCATATTTTAATGGTATATAAGCTTAAGTTCTTAATTTCATAAGGCGATATTAAAAACAGAAATCCTGAACTTCCCTAGTATGAGAATTTACCACCCCTCCAATGTAAATTATTCATAATATTGATATCATTGCTCAGCCTTTTTATAGCCTTCAATCTGATTTAGTTATAGAGCCATAAAATAGAAAATCAGACCACTGTGGCTATGCCTACCTGGCACATTCTCTCTTTCAGAAATTGTCAATAGTTCTCTCTGATGTAAATACTATATTATTTATAACAACTAGAAAACCAAATAAAATTGAAGGCTATAAAAATTATGCTTTGTCTGAACAATGACATCATTATAATGGGTAATTTGTGTTAATTTCTGTACTTCTCAGAGGGGTGGTAAATAAATGAGAGAAGAGTGAAAACCTAGAAAGAAAATGTCACAATTCTCATAAAAGAGGAGATTGAGGATTATATTATATTTTCTAATAAAAATAAGAACTTGAAACTTGTATTAAAATTTGATTTATTAGCTATATTTTACTGCCAAGGTTATTTGTATACCATGATGATAAAGTAGTTTAATTAAATTTTGAATGCAACTCGGCAAAACCTCATGACATGCACAGAAAAGTGTACTTGTATAGAAAGAGTTAAGCAAGTGGAGTACAGTTCTGTACAAGTTAACTCTTTCCGTATGGGCTTGGTCAATGTGACCAACCCTGTAATCATCATAGATTCTATAATATAACTTTTAATATGGTATGTGTATCTTTATGAAATTTGACAAGCTTTTTGTAAACATTACAAGACTTACATACATGAAAAATCTGATATTTTAATCAATTATTTTTACTAATGATTTATCCATAAATATGTAGTGTGAGATTGTTGGCTACTCCAAGTTAAAAGTTGTTTTCATGTTAAGAATAAAAATACTTTTCTTCACATGAAAATTTTCAGATTTAATTTGCTTAACCTCTTAAACCTACTAAATAAATAACAAATTTTTTTTTTCAGTAAAACTATATTTTATTTATTATATTTTCTACCCTAACTCAATATGCATTTGACAAATTTGACTGACCTCATAAACACCATAAAACAATACAAAAAAATTTAAATTCCCTTTTTTTTCTAGAGTGACTGCAGATTGTAACAAAAACTAAAGTTGTTTCTGTTAATAAATTCTGATCTTTAAGTTATTCATTTCACATATTTTTGCAAACATTGTTTGTTAAAACTGTGTAAATGTAAAGAAATTTGAAAATCTCTTATTTTGTAAATTGAATTCACGAAGTACATTGACTTAAGGTAAACAGTGAGGAGTGCAGAAATTTTCTCAATGATCATAGATGCTTGAATTAAATGTGAGTGTAAGTGAGGTATTCCCAAGATTTTGTGCCTTTACGATTGCTAATAAATGACACTTTATAAGTGTTTGTTGTTTGCTAACTACCCGAAGATATCGGTTTGTCAAATGGAAGGGTATCTTGTGAGAAATTATGCTCCACAAAGTTTTAATTATTTGATTAACCTGAATCTTATCCCCAAGAAGCACCAAATGCACTTAGATTTACAAAAGGCTTCAAGAGGAGACATATCTCAGACTTCGTAGCTTGAATACGTTTGTATTTATTGATGAAGATTTTTTACTTCTAGAAAGCTGGCAGGTTTGAAAATGGTAATAGTGATAATAGAACCAATTAAATAGCCATCAAAATCTTTAAGGATAATCAGAATTAATAATGCTGATTAAAATATAAAAGTAAAAGTAATCAGTGATTTAAAAGTCATGATATCAAAATGCTATACTGAGGTAAATACAATGAAACAAATCAAATTCTGGGTTATGTTTTTTAAGGTGCACAGGACAAACTAAAATTGACCGTTATATTCATTTTCACTCACACTTCATGTTTCTGGTACTTATATAGTTCCAATACTAATTTTTGGCTTATTAATACTTCAACCTTCACTTTTTTGTGCTAGTAGTGTCTGTAACTTTATTAGGGCATTTTTTCTTACGATTACTTGTATAGCATTGACAGCATACACGTTCTTGCAACTGTTACAACCGAAAGTCTGTGATTCTTGTCTTGATTGCTTTATTTGTACTACTTGTGTTTTTATCAATCTGTTCTCAGCGATTTGTGTCATACTTCACAATCACTTGAGTTATTGTACTTACAAACAGAAGGCCGGTATGGCTAGGTGGTTAAGGTGCTCGACTCGCAATCTGAGAGTCGCGGGTTCGAATCCCCATCACACCAAACATGCTCACCCTTTCAGCCGTGGGGGCATTATAATGTGACGGTCAATCCCATTATTCGTTGGTAAAAGAGTAGCCCAAGAGTTGGTGGTGGGTAGTGATGACTAGCTGCCTTCCATCTAGTCTTACATTGCTAAATTAGAGACGGCTAGTGCAGATAGCCCTCGTGTAGCTTTGCGTGAAATTCAAAAACAAACAAACAAACACAAACTGAATCACACAGACTGTGGCACTGACTACTCCTCCTTTACTTCCAAAAGCACAACCGTACAAAGAAATGTTGAAAGCTGCCAGGCCATTCCTGTGTAGGCTTGACTGTAGAAAGGATGTAGACATTTTTCAGCTGATTAGTTTGACTTTCTGACAATGAATGGTGATGCATTTTAACCCTTATGAGGCAGGCTCATGCAATTTGTGGAAAATGAGTTGCAAATTTCACTTGTACAATAATAATATGTACTGTAACTCTGAGATTTCTTAATGTATCCTCTCAGAAACTGGTAATATTTTGTTAAAGATCATAAGTATATTGTATACAAAGAGTGACATTATTATAATTGTGTTTACTAAAAATATGTTATTTTTCTATCGTAGTTAATTGCATTCAAACTATTAACAAATCAAGTGTAAAGTGATTTTCATTTTAAGTATGAAAATACTTTTCTTCAACTTACAGTTTTCATATTTCATTTGCATAATCTCTAGAATCTCCTAAAAGGATATCAACGTAAATATTTATTTTATTTTTCATTTTCTCTACCATGTCACCAACTAACTATTATCATCAACATACGATGCAATGAAATAATTAAAATTAGGAAATAGAAAAAAAACGTACCTTTTAATTTTAGGTTGAATATCTTTAATGATTTTCCTTTTGTTAAATTTGTAATTTCATGTATTTTCCTTAATTCTTCCTTAGTTGATTTTTAATGTTTTATTTTCCTTTCTCGTCTTTTACCACTTGACACCAGGCAACGGTGCCCTCGAGGCATATTACAGTTTTTTTGGGAAGCGTGTAACTCTTCGGCAAAATTTTCCTTTTGTCCATAACATCGTAAGCCTTGAGAAAAGAAGCAAAGTATGATGTACATTTAAAAAATGTTTAAACCTTTTATAACATAAATGATACATAATTAACTAAAATATAATAGTTAGAGCTAAATACAATTTAAACTGTATCTCTAACTATAACATCTTTGGGTAAGAAACAACCGTAAGTGCTATAGTCAATCAAGCAGCCAATACATGCAATCCATGATGACAGCTGTGCATCAATTTCAAAATAACCATTGTTATATTATAGTGTAAAATGATCTCTTTGTAGTGAGTATACACGTGTATGTAACACCTATGTGTTGGCTATAAAGCTCAAACAAATCTGTTGAAGGTGGGTGTGGCAGCTGTCAGGGGTTGAAAAAATGTTTTATTTGTTTCAACTGTATTCATTCAGAGAACTTTGAAATGTACGAGTCAAAAGGTTGTGTAAGCATCTTATTGTCTAGACGTACATCTACTCAACTATTATTGTATATTTGAAGATACAGAGAGCCAATAGAAAGAATTTGTTTACTTGTGCAGAAAAACATTTAAAGGGTCTCCTGTTGCAAAAGGATTAATGTGTGAAGTGAGAAGAATTTATGAAATAGTTCAAGTTTCCTTTGCTAGATGGCAGTATTATGGTCAAAATATATTTGTTGATGGTGACTGGTGAGGTTATTTTATGCAACAGAGTGCTGACTGCTGATTATGCCTGTGTACTTTATGTCTAGTTTTCAGTATGTTATGCACAAGATTTATTTTATAAATTCAAAGCCATCTTAGCTAACTAGTATTCAGGCTTTGGAGAAGAATGTTTTCACAATTAGTGTTTTGTCTTCTGTAGAGTCTTGCATTTTAATAGAAGTCATCTAATTTTGGTACAAGAACCATTCAAATATTTGCCAGTCTATAGTAACTGTTATTTTACTTTTTAATCATAGCTGAGTTCTATAAGGTCTTATACTCCTTTTCAGGAAAGGTCCCCGAGTCAGCATGTAGTCAGGCATCAGAGGTTTCAACTGAAAGCACTCCTTCCAAAGGTGAGAAACTTATTTCAATTTCCATCAAGCAGATTTTAACTTTTAAGTGTGTAAAGTCCTCCAGTGGGTCAGTGGTAGTAAGTTTATTAACTTACAGCGCAAAAATCCAGTGTTCAATACTGAGAAATAAAATATTTTAAAATTTTGTACAAGTTAGTTTTTTTACATAAGTTTCTCCTTGAAAATTCTATTGTGGATTGAATGTTCATAGAATTTGGAAATTAAGATTTATATTAAAATTTCTATATTTTTCAGAAATATCTGTTTCTAAAAAATCAAAGTTGCTAACAAGAAGGAAACATACAGCTGAAGGAACACCCGAGACATGTTCCCTGCTACCAGAAAGGTAAATTTATGTTTTATTTTGCATTGTGACTCATATAATCAATGTTTACTTCCTTTTTCTTTGCATTATTGAAACTGTAAGGTTATGTTTTAGCCATTATAATAAATATGGTAATTATCAATTTCTCTTACAGTTTTAATTAAAATGTTACCAAACTCAGAAAAGGGAATGAACCTGTCCCATTGGGAAAGTCCGTTTTGTTCTCTGTTGGTACTGCTTTTTTAACGTAGATACTTTTATGATATGCAGGCAAATCATTAGTCTTGAGAACCGTGTTTTGTTAATATAGGAATGAAAAAAATTTTTAGTCTGTTTCTATTCAGTTTTGATATAAAAACATGATCCTGACAACTGTTGAGTTGTTTCATTCTTGTTGATTTTGGTTCTTTGTCATTGTCTAGCAGATAGTATCTACTCTCTCCATAAGGATAGTGCTGCAACTTTACATACTGTGTAGGATAGGTATTTAACAACAATGTCTATTACTAACCAATTAGATGATTTGTAAGAGAATGACCAGTCGCATGATGACACTTGTAACTTATAAGTAAAACCGATATGAAGTGTCATTTGTAGTTAGAATACATACAGAAATTTTTATTTGGTTTGAGACATAGTCAATCAATGGAAAGTTATCTTGAGAGAGATAACAGTTAATTGATTCACTGTCCAGTAGGAAAGCAACTGACCAGTGTCCACGTAATTAAGCACACTATTCTTCTTCGCTTTTCACAATTAAAAAAAAAGCTTATTTCACTTTACATAATGTATCCAGTCAGTGTATTTCTTAACTTAAAACTTAAGTCATTTAGTTAAGTTTAGATTAACTTCATAATTTTCCCATTTGATCCTCCTGTTATAAAGGGGACTTACGTAATTGTCATGTGAAAATCAGTTGAGAATGTCATACTTTCTAGAAAGAATGTGATTATATTACCTAGATAATAGATATAAAAATGATATTTTTGTAAGTATTACCTTTATATATATGGTTCCTCTGTTGAAGAATATTGATCAAATTTGGCATACTTGTAGCTCTTCAGTCAGAGTTGGAGCCATTATATTGCTATTTTGCTGCAAAATTACGTAACTGACAAGCTTTGAATTCTTATTGCGAACATAAGTCAAGTTAATCCCAAAGTCAGTGAAAAAATCATAAGTTAAACTGCTTTTATTTATTTGAAGAAATTTTAGACCAAAGATGAAAGTTGGCCATAAAGGTATTTCTAATCTTTAATTGTATTACATGGTTTTAGCTTTTCATAAAATTAAAGTGACTGTAATGGGATAAAGTCACAGAAAAGTGCAAGGTGTTTCATAGTTTTTATTTTTTCCCCAAGATCATTTAAAAACAGTGGATAAGTACCAATGGCTGAAAGTGTTTCATAAAGTTTATACTAACACTAATAATTAAAAGGACATTGGTTATAGAAGTACTACTCATACAAAGGCATGCATTGTGTGCCTTAAGCCTCTCACTACAGGCTTCCATATCTGTACATTTTATGAGGATTTACTGAGTTACATTCAAAATTTAATTAAACTACTTTCTTATCAGGGTATACAATTAAACTTGGCATAAAAACGTAGCTAATAATCCAAATTTTAATGTTATATAATTTTATGAGGCAAAAACAAATCCTGAATTTCCCTTAGTATAAGAATTGTGACATTTGCTCTCTAGGTATTCCCTCTTCTTTAATTTATTTACCACCCCTCTGAGAAGTAGAAAATTTAACATAAATTATTCATTATAATGATGTCATTGTTCAGACAAAGCATAATTTTTATAGCCTTCAATCTTATTTGGTTACAGAGCCATAAAATAGAAAATAAGGCTCCTTTCACAATGCCCACTGGGCACATCTTTTCTTTCAGAAATTGACAATAGTTTTCTCTGATGTGTAATATATTATTTATAATGAATAGAAAGCCAAAGTTTTAATCTATCAAATGACGTATTATATTATGTTCTTTGTTATACAAAGAATTGTCTATTTCGCTTCTAGTTCAAAGTTTTATTTCCACAGGAAACACGTAGAGGAGCTTAACTAAATTTTCAATGGCTCTTGTGTAAATATTAGAAACTTTTTAAGTTAGATACGGTTAGAGTAGGTAAAATAAAGAATAATGATGATAATAAACATTTTTCATGAGGTATGCTCTCAAGTAACTCGCAAGTAGTCCATTTGTTGTATAATTTGATTGGGTAACATGAAGTTTGCCAAGTGAGTTAAAAGTTATCTGGTGGGAATATTAATTAGACACGGTTCAAAGGGCAATAAAACAATAAAATTTAAATATAAACAGATGTGTACTGTTATGAGTTTAAAACTATTTAGGATTTGTAATTGATACTTAAAACCTTTGGTACTAGGGAAGACTCCATAATTATAGAATTGAGTAAAAAAACAAAGACAGTTGTTGAATGTGTCACAAATATTTCATTTATCAATGACTGATTTTACGAGTAAAGGCATCATCAGGTACATACTGAAATGGTTTGTAAACAGGTTTATATATGTTTAACCAAAGAACCAGAAGTAACCTTTAGACAAGTGGGGAAGAGCTTAAGTTGATTTGGTTTATAGAGTGTTCTTTAATTCGACCTAGCTGGAAATTAAGGAAAATGGAATCAAACTATGCATCCCACCTTATCGAAAATAAACACCAATTGATCTGGAGAAGAAAAACTTCCAAATGTTACACAGCTGTGAAAAAGGTAAAAAACTTGATAGCCTGGAAATTTTAGAAATAAATAGAAGTATAAAAAACAAATTCAGAAAACGTTCTAAGTGACTGAACCAACTTAAGCTCCTCCCCCACTTGTCTGGAGGTGAATGTGAAGGTTAGTTCTGGTTCATTGGTTAAACATATATAAATCTGTTTACAAACCATTTCAGTCCATACCTGATGATGCCTTTACTGGTAAAACCATGGTCATTAATAAATATTTGTGAAATGTACAATTGTTTTTGTTTTTTTCTTCAATTCTATTTAGGATAAACAAATGTAGTTTCATGTTGCAATTTGAAGTCATTGTAGAAGGAAAAATAGGATAATTTAGATTTAATTAAAGTTTTTTTTTGAGTGGTTATGAGGTCAGTTGAATTGACCAACCTCGTATAGAGTTAGGGTAGAGAAAATAACAGATAAAATATAAAGTTTTACTGAAAAAAAAAGTCTGAAATTTACTCAGGAGGTTTTAGAGATTGCTCAATTGAAAATTTGAGAATTTTAAGGTGAAGAAAAGTAATTTTAATTTTTGCATGAAAAATCACTTTCCACTCAGAGCAGTCAACTCTTTGACTCCATACGTTCATGGAGAAACTTATAGTGAAAATACTTCATTAAAACTTCGTTTTTGTCTGCAAATGACTCTTAATGCTTACTTGAAAGTTTGTGAATTTTCGTGAAGATACACATACACAAAACATATTAGAAGTTATAATATGGAAACTCTAAAGGTCATCAATTTTGGGTCAGTTTTTTTTTTGTTGAATCAACTGAGCCTATAAGGGAGAGAGTTAATAGGAAGAATTGTGAGGTATTTTTCCATAGGATAGATGCTAGGTTTAGTTTTGTCTGTGTCGTTTAATATTGTTTGTTTAACAGCAGTTGGAACCTAACCTAACATATTTTTATGACTGTATGTGTATTTAATTATATTTTTGTATTTGAAGCTATTTGAGGTTTTGCCATGATGGTGGAGAGTATGGATGACCAAATTTGAAACAAATGTACACATAAAGATTATCTGTTTTTTTTGACATTAGCTAGTTTTTAAAAACAGTTTAATCCATAAAAGTAGAATTTTCTTAGATCTTGTTGTTGACAAAGTACAAAATCCAAATATGGTAAGAAAATTCACCTGTACAAAGTTTAACATATAAGAAAGTCGTAATAATTAGAGGTTTGAAAAAAATGTTTGCTGGGTGTACCTAATTTTGACTTGACTGAATCAAGAAAAGTAAAGACACTAGACAAGCAAGTTTTATAAAAGAAACAAAAACACAATTTGTTTCCAAGACAAGAAAAGATGTAGTCTTCTTCATCTGTTAAAGACACAGGCACTGGATGATGCTGGGGCTTGCACCCTTATTTAAAGTCAGCCTTGTTAAAGGAAGAATGTTTAAACTTACTCTTATCACATCCTCACAGAGTGCATTGTTACCTTTGTTTCTGATCGTTCTCAATAAGAGAGAGTACTTGGTTCTTTTACAATTTGACATAACTGAGGAGTCTAGAAAACCCATTAGGTCAAGTTCAAATGGAACTTTCCAACACTTACAGCTAGGAAAAGACCTTGAAATACCCAAGGGATATGACTCCAGACAGTGTGTGACTCCAGATATTGACACAAGAACAATGTCATCCACTCAATATTAGTTATCTATAAGCTGTATGTGAACGCGTAAATCAGCATGTGAAAAATTTTAAAACTTTTTAATGTAATAACTGTACACCTCTGAACTAAAAAACAAAACAAAAAAAAACATCTTATATTTTTACATTTACACAGCTTGACTTTAATAATTGTAACTTTGTTGCTAATGTTTTTGTTTTTTTTGTATTTTAGGTTTTTCCAGTTTATTCTTTTACACTATTAAGCCAAATAATGCATATATTAAAACATGAAAATTAAATTTGTAAGGAATATTGATAGTAGAATTATCCAGGAAGAAAAAAAAGAAGCTACTTGTGAATTTTATAATTACCGAGTTGTAATAAAATGTACACAATGTGAGTTTACAGTTTCATCCTTTTCTGCCACAGGCCTTCATACCACTTGCTTTAAATTATTACACGGTTACTTTCACTTTCCGTTACTGAGTGACAGTTTATTCCTCAAAACAAAATCTTAAATATACTTATTATATATTTGTAAATGTACAGCTTTTATTAAATTTTAAGTATTTACAGATCACTTAAAAAAAAAATCCTTTAGATGTTTTAACTTTTTCCATTTCAAACTGTGCTATCATGTTTAGCAAGAGATATGAGACTTAAGCAGTCGGTGTCACAGATGGGTTGAAATGTTGACCAGAACTTATAGAAACCAGTGCAGTTGGATTAATTTATATTTTCAAGTTAAATGATCGTGTAATCTCGTGTAGATAGTGTTAAAATTAGGACTAGAACGTATAAGGAGGACTGCAATAATTAGATAACTATATGTTATAGGATTAAATAGACATTCATAGGCTTTGGTTTCTTGTTTAGCTCAGATTGAGAAAGCATAATTTGCAAGAAGAAGTAAAAATTACATAAATGGTACAATACTTTTATCATTTAAAACATATATATTATTTAACTCAATTTTTAAACAAAAATTATATATTTTATGTGAATTAAAGCCGTGGTTCTCAACCTGTGGTTTTTTTGGACCACTAAGGTCCACGAGCATTCTTTAGGGGGGTCAGCAATGGTAAAGATTGAGTTTACATATTGCATTTAGAAAAGAGAAACAATGCTATGTCCAACTAAATGAAAATTGTTAGTGTTACACAATAGGATAAGCTTCCAACGATAAACTTGTCTGAGTATATGGGTTCATAAACAAAGAAAGGTTGAGAACTGCTTTATTAAGGTATTCAGAGATTAAAAGTAGTTGTTGTTTCTCAACTAAAAAGGGAAACCAGTGACAGAGTCAGTCGTCATTCATCTAAAAAAGAAAGCGATCTAGGCCCACCCACTTACATTCTTGCAAGCATTTTGTCCAAAGCTGGAACTCACTTGGCAAGTTCCCATGGTGACACTTCCCCTGGGGCTGTTCACTGTTTCCAGGATGAATATGGTGAGAAGAAAAGAGTTTTTATTCTGTTGTGATAGCCTAGTTTTATTCTGCAGATGACAATAATGACATAATGGAAGAAGTCATAGCTAAAAAACTTTGGAAAACTAGCAAGATGAGTGACCAAAGGTCAGTATCAGAGTTAGTGATATCTCTTTCAAATACATAGAAAAAATTGAATTTTTTGACATCAGTTTTAGGTCAGTGGGAGCAAAAGTGAGCTATGTGACCCTCAAAGGTATCCATAATGAAATGAAATTAATTTGTTGTATTATAGAACATTTGAAAAAAGAATTAAACAAAGCCATAACCATGAAAATATTTCTTCACTAGTCCAAATTCACTACTTATATTCACTGTACTGTATTATTGTGTTGTTTTATGTTAATATAGGTTTCTTCAAATTTGACCCCATATATCAATTCCTCCTCGACTTATTATGCTTAGATGTTTTAGCATGCCTTGAAGTGCTGTATGAACGACTGATTTAGTACTATGGTAAATGATGAGAAATTCTGGCATTAAAAAAAATTTTATTTGGTGGTAGATTATTTATGTAAAAAGCCAGTACTCAAGTAAAGGCATAATTAGTGTGAAATTATCTTATAGTTACTGTGGTGGTTAAACATGCTAAAATGACTTTTTATAATTTAATTTGCATATTAAAAAATATTTTTTGTATATAAAAGCACCCTTTCTCAACAAAAGTTTAATTTTCACTATTTTATTTCTGTTGATCCCAATGACCTGAAATTGGATTATTGAAATCAATTGTTTTCTATGGATTTCAAAAAGATTCCACTTGAATAATACCTAAGATCCTGACATGGTCCTTGATCTTGCCATTACTCCTTTGTATGTTCATTTTTATAGCAAAATGATATTGCAGAAATTTTAAGACACTTGTTTTTATGGAATAAAAGTTATCATATTTGTTTGTACTTGAACTAAGATTTGATGAATCAGGATGGTGGAAGTGTTAGTTTGTCAAAACACAACAGTAATAAACAGTAGAACATTGGTCTGTCTTCTTCAGGTACGATCAGTATTAAACAATAGTTTTATATGTTGTTACAAAGACAAAAGATAACCAGAAATTAAACATGATGGAAATGGTGTCAGCAGGTGACAGGATATAGGTAGAGGTCAGGTCTGGTCAATCGTGTGAATGGTGAATAGACCTTGCCAAATACAGCTGACATTGCTAAGGTCGTTATTACGGTTGTGTGAGAGATCGTTTGCTTGGCAAGGTCTATTCTCGGTTCATATACTTGACCTTGACCTGATGTCACCTGCTGACATCATTTCTATCACATTTAATCCCTATGTTTTTTGTTTTTGTAACAATATATAAAACTTGTATTGTTTAATTCTGATCATATCTGGAGAAGACAGACCAATGTTCTGTCGAAACATGTAGTATGTTCCACCATCAATAAAACGTTTCCTTATGTTTATAAATTGTTGTTTGCCTGCCTGTTATGTGCTTCCTTAGTAAAGTAGTCAGATACAGTACTATTACTAGCAAGAAATGTGTAAATTGGAGATATGTGGTTTTGTAGTAATACTGTTATCCGATAGTGCAAGCATATACTTTACATCATCATAGTTTCTGTTTAACATTGTTGATGACAATGTCTGCATGGTGGTTTCACTTACCCAAATGTAGTATATGATTTTTAAAATGTGAAATAATCTTTGTGTAGATTTATTTACAGAGATTGAAATGACAATAGTTATTTCCGTGTTATTGAAAATTAAGTATCTGTATATATATATATATATA